TTTCGGTCTTTGCTCTGCTCCTATTTTCATCTGGTTTCAGTAACAATACTGTTACCAAAATTTAAATTTAAATAGAACACTGCACTCTTTTAGTGTGCTGGTATTGCATTATCCAGCATAGTCCGCAAGATGGTGGGGAGGGAGAAGAACAGAAAATTAAGTTAATTCAGGCTTATGAGGGGAAAATCTTCTGTCTTTGCAAGTTATGTTATGAAAATATTATGTTTTATACACTGTATGCCTTATACACTCCTAATGTCTCCCGGAACCTTCAATGCTAACATACTAGCATTTATTAATCTATATATTTTTATCTCGCCCTTCCTCCATGAAACTGAAGATGGCATATATATGAATTCATTAAGCTGCCTTGTACTGGGTCTATCTAGGTCAGCATTTTCTACTCAGACTGGCAGTGACTCTTCAGTGTCTCATGGAGACATCACCTACTACTTGATCCTTTTTACAGAAGATACCAAGGACTGAGCCTGGGACCTTCTGCATGTAAAGCAGATGCTCTCCCACTGAGCCACAGTCCTTCCATTCTAGTTTCCCTGCCTCCTTTTTATCCTCACAACAATTTGCAGTGTAAGGCTGAGAGACAATAACTGCCCCATAACCACCTAATGATCTGAACCTGGATCTCTGTTGTTGTTGTTCAGTCGCACAGTCGAGTCCAACTCTTCGCGACCCCATGGACCAGCTCCCGCCAGGCCCTCCTGTCTTCCGCCATCCTCTGAAGTTTGCTCAGTTTCATGTTCGTTGCATTGTTGCATCGATGACACTGTCTTTGACCTTTATAAACTGAAGCTATGGGGTAGTTAGTACAAACTCTCTGTTTCTTTTTCTGTAGTTCCTGTTCATTGACGTAGACTTGGCACTGCATCTGATGTCATACATTTCTAATTAAATGCAAAAAAAGAATCAGTAGCTCTGTCCCTGTGGTAGAATCATATACATACATGCATGCACACAAATGAGAGCACTGGGTTTGTGGGGAGCCACAGCACCTGACAGCAGACTAGTTCTGTGTGTAATAATGAAATGTCATATAAACTAGCCTTTTATGCTACAGACACAGTTGATTTTTTCCCCTGTGTTTTTTTTAAACCAACTAACTTGGTATGGTACTCTTATGTAGTATAAAATCAGTTTCTCAGTCTATTTCCACTGAAGGTCGAAAAGCAACAAATCAATATTACTACTAATGGATTTTTTTCTCTTCTTCTTCAGATAACGTTGGACACTGCGAATATCAAACTACCTAGATTGCCTCAGGGATCCTACTCCCCTACTGGATCCAGGCAAAAAATCTACGAGCTGTGTGTATGTCCCAATGGGAGGTTATTCCTGTCTCAGGCAGGATCTAGTTCCACCTGCCAGATAAACTCAAGTGTCTGCCTTTGAGAGAGACTGTTTGCAGCAGGCGTAGCCGGCAGCACAATGGCCTTTTCTGGCCTCCCAGATAAGAGCTGCCAACTATTTTTACTAGAACACAGAAAACCTATCAAAGACTGTTTTTGTGTGTGCGCGCGTGTGTGAATATATAAATATATATAGAGAGATATATATAGATATAAATATATATATATATCCTTTGTTTAAAATGATGTTTCAGTACAAGAAGTCCCAGGGTGACCCTCTTTGTGTAGCATTCATTGTTCTCACATAAAATTTTTATAAACAGTGTTCAAATTGGATCTAGATCTTTCCAGGAGTTCTCAAACTATGTCATAGCAAGCCTCCATAAAGTAAAGACAGTGCTTTAGGGCCTCTCTTAATTTAGGTAAAGACCACCTCACATACTACATTTTACCTACAGGCATAGAAAGAAACCATATCATGTGACAGCATTATTCTCATGCCTATTTACCATATGTATATGCACTTGCAACTCTGACAATTCTGACTTCCAAATGTGTACACTCAGAAAACTAGACAGGTACACTGTCACTAATGGTCGTGCATACAGGTGCCTGCCTGTTTTTTTCTGAATCCATGTACACCTGTTTAGATACAATGTCATGTGTGAAACAAACCTAAAATAGTGCCCAAAAACCGACAAGGCAGTTCAACTTGTAGCCATCACTCTCAACCAAGCACGAAGACAGCGAAATCAAAGGCAAGGAAGGTATTTGAGTACATGGACAATATTCAAATGGATGGAACTATTGGGGAACAAAAAGCCAATAAAAATGAGTTGCCCTGTTGGTCATTAGCCCTGTCAATCAATTTAGTAACTGGGATGAATAGGGAAATGAAACCTCATCACCTAGCTCATTTCCAGAGAAATGTTCAAATGGCAGGAACATACAGTCTGCATAGCTGCTGCCACTTATGATGGCCCACTTATGATGGCCCATTTTGCATTTTGAGAACTACAGTTATAATGTATACAAATAAGACTCTCTCTATTATTTACTGTTTCCTCAAGCAAAGAGTAAAACAAATTATTAGTGACAGTATAATAAGACAAGCATCTCTGATTATTATTACACCATGATGACCCATCTCAGTAGAACGTAACTTTATATTTTTTAAAAATGCTTCGGGTGCTCCAGGACACATATCCCAAGAGCAACACAGTGCACTACTTTCCATAATCCTGTGTCTGATTCTAAAAGATGTCTTTGTATATATGATTGCATTATGTTAGTGCAAAATGACTGACAGCTATGAACTGTTTTTTGATGAGCTGTAAAGACCATTCAAGAAATCAACTTTGTAGCCAGGACAAAGTGGAAAAAGGTCTTGAGAGGAGTATTCAAAAGAGCATCAGGATTATATATGTTTTGTTGAAATTTAGTTGGAGGTCCCTTCCTCTGTTATATACACTAATGTTAGGTTACTAATAGCGCATGACGCATCTCTGAGATGTGTCTGTAGAGAAAGGAAACTGATCGCCCATTTCAAAAAGAGGAAGAAAAATTGCCCCCTTAAAATGAATAATAATGCATTGAGAAAGAATCTGTACTGGTATAATCTCTCCTATGGACTGTGCAAGTCATGCTGTCCTTAGGATCTGCAGTGCAGATGAAAAAGACACCCTATGTAGTCTGTGCAAACAGAATAAAATGGAATTAATATTAGACTCCCCTTCAAAAAGAGTGGCAGAAGCAATCTAATGTCAGTTTGCAGAAGACTGTGTACTTCTTTGAAAGGTAAGGCAGTTACTGTACATATGAATGTTTGGATGCTCACAACTGTTAGGTGTCTGGTTCATCCTTTGTTGTCAATATTGCATACAGGTTCATAGAATCATAGAATCAAAGAGTTGGAAGGGGCCATACAGGCCATCTATCCAACCACTTGCTCAATGCAGGATCAGCCTAGAGCATCCCTGACAAGTGTCTGTCCAGACGCTGCTTAAAGACTGCCAGTGAGGGGGAGCTCACCACTTCCCTAGGCAGCTGATTCCACTGTTGAAACAAACTCTTACTGTAAAAACGTTTTTCCTAATATCCAGCCAGTACCTTCCCACCCTTAATTTAAACCCATTATTGCGAGTCCTATCCTCTGCTGTCAACAGGAACAGATCCTTTCTAAAAATGCATATTGTATTAGAGTAAAGATGTTTAAAAGAACTAACTGAGGAACATATCAAATAGAAGTTGGTATGGAATGGTTAACTATTTTAAAGCAGCAGTTTAACTGCCTTAAAAGCCCATTTGAGCTTTAAAAAGTAGGATATAAATTGAAAATAAAAATTAAGTAAATTTACCATCTAAATTTCTACATGAAGAAGAAGAGATTGGATTTATACCCCGCTCTTCACTTGGAGTCTCAGAGCGGCTTACAAACTCCTTTTCCTTCCCCTCCCCACAACAGAAACCCCGTGAGGTAGGTGGGACTGAGAGAGCTCTGAGAGAAACTTCCCTTTCAAGGACAGCTCTGACAGAACTATGGCTTGCCCAAGGTCATCCAGCATCTGCAAGTGGAGGCGTGGGGAATCAAACACGATTCTCCCAGATTAGAGTCATCGCACTTAGCCACTACACCAAACTAGTGTAGAAGGTCAACATCACACATTTTAGATACTGCAAATATCAGAGATGCTTATTATGAAGCAGATTTTTTCAGTAGTCTGCATCAATTAGGATACAACCCTCTTGTTCAAAATAGATGCATAGATTAACTTCAAAACAGGGCCCAAGGAAACTGTTGTTTGCAGGAATTCCAGATAGGTAGCCATCTAAGTGTATTGTAGCAAAATCAATAGTCCTGTGGCATTTGAAAACTGGCTAGCCTGTTGAGGCAAGAGATCTTATGCCACAATAAATGTGTTAGTCTTGGAGATAACTTTAGAACGCCTTAGTTTTTCTCCAAGTAAAAAATTGTTAGCAACATCAAAGATCTGACTCATCATGAGAAAGGCACAATATTTATGAAACAGGTTCCATACATGATTCCCTTACATTTCTATAAATGTACACAATCCAGTGAATAAATAATAATAGGTTTATTATGCCTACAGCAAGTCAGAAGGCTGAGACAGAATAGTATGTGTTCGTCTTTCAAGCCATTTTCTTGGATTTCTTTATGGGCACCAAGCACTTAAGCACCAAGAACTTGACAGCAAGCCTGTTGAAATCAATTGGAAGGCACTCCTATTGATTTCAGTGGCATTTGGATTAAGCCATTTCCATTAGGTGCTTCAGGTTGATGATAAAGCAGGCTTGAAGACACCAGTGAAGTGCCCTTTTGATAGATAGCAAAATGAGTAGCTCCACATTACATTCAGTGACATCATTAGGACTTGCTAATTGAAAGGCTCCTGTCATTATCATTTCTTGAGCTCACACTTCAATACAAAGGGGTCACCCAGGATAACAATTGTATTGGGACACAGGATTATACGCCATCTCTGTTCAAAGAGGGAGACGTGCCTATGCCTTAAGTCAATGCACTCAGCAAGGAGAAGCACATCATATTTATCTTATTCTTAACACTAGTTTTTTTGGAGCATTGGGAGGAAGGTTGGAGAGGATGGTGGGGTTTAAGAGATGTTAAGAGATGAATGGGAGCTTGTAAGGCAACATAAAGTAGAGTCACTAGATATTCACAAAGACTATGGGACTTCTGGAGCAAGTACAGATTTATGTCATGTTTTAATATAGGAAGAACCCAAGTGTGGAACTTCTGAGCTCATCCTGGGGTCCAGCTTTGAATCTTCAGAGGTGTTTGTGTAGTATGGTATTTGTTTTCTTTTTCCATTTCATACTGAACAATAATTTCCCATCACACATTAAGGGCCATTTCATTAAAGAATACTAGTCAGGGTGTGCAACATGATAAATGAGTTCAACAATGCAAAAATATACATATTGCCATGCAACAGAGTTGTTTGATCTTTTCTTCCCCGTTAATTTTAGTAATAATTAAAAAGGACCATGAAACAAAAGTTTCATTGTGATGAACAAACTGTGTTTATGGGGTTTTTTAAATGAACGGCTTATTTTACTGATAGCTCAGTCTTTATCTTAATTTGTGTCCTGATTTTGCATCTTTAAAGTCAAGGGTTTGGTTACAAATTGCATTGAATGCAATCAAACATGATTATGTCTAGAGAGGGATCCAAATTGTTAGCAATCAAGTCAGTTCATGACAGCCATCCAAGATCCTTTAGATGGTGAACTTGTTTGGTTTGTGATCTGAGTTAACCTTACAGACTTTTCCATCCATCTGCCAATTAACAAGACACCTGGCTCTCTCACTAAAAAGATTGGTAACAGTTAGTGAAACTCTCCTTTGGCAGATTCACCTTTGTTTTTAACATTGAAGAAACCAGTTTTTGTAAAAGCCTGCATATGTATGTTTTCTAACCTGTAAAAATGTGTATACTGAAATGAAAACACTGCCCCCTTATTCTCACACACACACACACACACACTTTTCTCACTTGCAAAAGCAAGAATGAAAAGTATATATTGTTTAGATCATCAGAGTAGGAAAGGTAACATTATGTTGGTCTCTGAATGTAATGTGATTTACCCACATTTCTAAGAAGCAATAGTTTAATGTGGGGAAAAGCCACCGTTCAGTACTGAGTTCTGTAGATGTGATCTAATGATAGTAAGGACGTGGTATCACATAGGGCATAATATTTCTGGCGTAGGAAGGCACCTTCATCCATTCCTATTTTCATGGACTACATTACTTTAAAAATATTTATAGCTTGTGTTAAATTGCTCACAATCAGTATATTGGAAAGACTGCAAGCAAACATTGCTTTTTCCACTCTTCCCCATACTGAATTTCCAACAGGTTGATTCTGGTAAAAATTCTACATCATGTTTAAAGAACTAGGGTTCACTGCACAACAATAGCAAACAACTATTTATTACAAATATCCACTGTTAAAGTATTCATAAAACACACAGGTCTTATTTGTACGTATGTGTTACCCTTCTTAAAAAGTTACCAGCTTCTTTAATTTGCATATATCAGCATGTCAGATTTTATTATTATCAGTATATTCCCATTAAAAGGTAGGAGGAAATGTTGCTGGTGTGAGGATACTGGCAGTGGCAATGCATTTGTGACCTTTACAAAAACT